TATATATGAATTTGTAGATAATTTTATTATTTTTCTAATGATATATAATAATATATATGCGTTAGAACAAATTATAAATAAATCTATCAAAGTATAGAATATGTAACCAGAAAACAAAAATACAAAGATGCAAAAATGAGTATTCAATTTAATTTTTTTTTTTTTAAATATAATTTGGTTCTAAAAGTTATAAATTGTTATATACAGATTTGTTGATAATTTTATTAGCTTTGTAATGATATATAATACTATATATGTATAAATTGTATGTATAAATTTGAAACATAAACGTGAATATAAAAAAATGTAACCGAATAAAAAATAAACTCCTTATAACTACAAGCAACTAAATGTTCACTTTCAAAGTTTGAACATTTTTTTTAATTTAATTTTGTTCCAAAACTTATAAATTGTTATATACAGATTTGTAGATAATTTTATTACCTTTCTAATGATATATGATATTATATACATGTTTAAACAAATTATTAACGATATCGATAAAAACGTAAGAAAACACCAAAAACGATTTGGTACTTAATTATAGTAAATTTTTCTTTTCAAACAAATTCTTACAATTAAAATTTTTTTTCAGTATAAAAAATGTAAATTAACGTAATTATTGTTTTTTAGTATATTTTCTAAAAAAAAATGCAGTAAAAGTTTTACAGGAAATTTTATATGACACATTTTCTTTCTATCTTTTATGATTATATTTACGATAATATTATCAAGTTTAAACTTTTTATTAATACATTTTGATTCTGAACGTTTTAAATTGTTATATACAGACTTAAAAATAATTGTACAGGCTCTTTAATGATATATAATACTATGTACGTGTTTAAATAAATTTTAACAAAATTTAGCCAAAACCCCAAAAAAGTAATCAACGTCTCATTTTCAAATATTTTCTACTTTTCAGTATTTTCTATACAATTTTGTTACAAGGATTATAAATTTTTATAGATGAACCATATTAATGTTTTTAAATAAATTAAAACAAAACTAGTGGGGTGTATGGCATCGTGCCTTAAAGCAAATTGCTGGAACTTCCCGTACCCTAAGGAAATGTTCGAGAAATATTGAATGTTTTCAAATAGATTATTATAAACATTGTCTAATATTTATAAGAATTATATAAACAAAAAGAGAGAACAATTGCAAAGTTAAAATTATTTGTTTAAAGTATATTAGAACTTTAGTCAGAATTACGATTAAAATCTGAATTATTTTCGATATACAAAAAAAAATTTTTTTTGAAAAAAAAAATTTTTTTGAAACAATTTTTTTTTCCAAAATCAATTATTTTGTTAAAACAAGCCGAAAGTTCTTTGAATCATTCAAATCTGACGCTTAGTTCTCTCAAAAACTGCCATTTTTTGCACATTTAGCTTTTACCAAAAACTAATAATCTCTTCTCCCAATCGTTACTAATTGAATGTTTTTTAGATCATTCAAATCGGATGCTCCGTTCTCTCAAAAACTCGATTTATATTTTCTGCACTCTTTGCTCCGTATCTCCGAAACGGCTGGACCTGCCTTTGCCAAAAACTAATCAGCTCTTTTCCCTATCGATAGGAATCGAATGTTTTTTGAACCATTCAAATCGGTTGATCCGTGCGTCCGGAAACGTGACTGGAAATTTGTATCCACACATACATACACACACACACACACACACATCCATTTCTTCTGAGGTATGCCCCTTAAAAATGTTCAGAAACCTTCAAAACGTGAAGAAATGTAAAAATTTTCAATTACGATTTTCGGCCCATTACAATAACTTACCCTACGGGAAGTTAAAAAGGACTCTACTGACGAGCAAACCTAAAAATATAATCAAAAAAGGCCTCTACCGACGAGCAAAATTCAACAAAACCAAAAAAGGGACTGTACCGACGAGCAAAACAAATATAAAAATAAAAAGGGACTTTACTTCACTAAATAAAAAATGTAAAAGGAACTCTACTGACGAGCAAACTGAAATTAAAAAATAGGAACTCTATTAATGAGCAAATCAAAATACTATATTCAAAAAAATCGATCTGGGACAAAAAGGACTCCACTGACGTGCAAATGCAAAAGAATTAGATAAATTAAAAAAGGACTCTACTGACGTACAAACTAATTCCTGATTTTACAAAAGAAAAAGGACTCTATTGACGAGCAAACTAATTCCTGATTTTAAAACAGAAAAAGGACTCTACTAACGAGCAAACTAAGAATAAAATAAAAAAGGACTCTACTGACAAGCAAACTTAAAATAAAGGATTATTCTGATAAGCAAATTAAAAGAATAAAATGAAAATGGGACTCTACTGACGAACAAATTAAATTATCAACAGAAGGGACTCTACTGACAAGCAAACCTAAAAATGAAATAAAAAAGGGATTCCACTGACGAGCAAATTAAGAATAAAATCAAAAATGGACTCTACTGACAAGCAAAAGAAAAATAAAATCAAAAAAGGACAAACAAAACAAAAATGAAAGAAAAAAGGAATCTACTGACGAGCAAATAAAAATATTAAGAAAAAAGGGACTCTACTGACGACCAAATGAGAATATTAGGAAAAAGGGACTCTACTGATGAGTAAACTCAAACAAAATTAAAAAGGGACTCTACTGACGAGCAAAACAAAAGTGAAAGAAAAAAGGGACTCTACTGACGAGCAAACTAAAGCCAAAAATAAAAGTGACTCTACTGACGAGCAAATTAATTCTTGATTTTACAAAAAAGGACTCTACTGACGAGCAATCTAAAAATAAAACGAAAAAGAGACTCTACTGACGAATGCACGATGACTGTAAATAAAATAAATAGAAACATAATAAATATAATAAAAAGGACTGTACTGACGAGCAAATTAATTCTTGATTTTACAAAAAAGGAAAAAGAGATTCTACTGACGAGCAAACTGAAAACAAAATAAAAAAAGAACTCTACTGACGAGCAAACTAAAAATAAAACTAGCTGTAAGTGGAATTCTGTCTTAAGACAATTAGGGCATCGTGCCTTAAGGCAAATTGCTGAAACTTCCCGTACCAAAAATTATTATTTTTTTAAAAACGATTAACATTTTTGAAAAAAAATTACTTCGAAAAAATAAGATTTTTAAGAAAATATAAATTTGACAAAAAAATTTTTTTTTTGTTGTCAATACAAGTAAAATGTTTTTTGAATTATTGAAATCGGACGCTCCGTTTTCTTAAAAACTGAGTTACCGTTTTTGGCACTTTTTGCCCCATATCTTCGGAACGGCTAGACCTGCCTTCGCCAAAAACTAATCAGCACGTCTCCTTATCAATACGAATCGAATGTTTTTTGAATTATTCAAATTGCTTCATACGTGTTCCCGAAATCGTCGACGAAAATTTGTATCCGCACACACACACATACACGCACGCACACATCCATCCATTTTTTCTAAGGTATGCCAAAATATTCAGAAACCTTTGAAACGTAAAGATATATAAAAATTTTCATTTTCGATTTTTTTGCGATTACTATGACTTGTCCTACGGGAAGTTAAAAAAAACCCAAGCTAAGCACAGTCTAAGTGAAAACCTGGTGCGACTGTTTTCGCAAGTGCGTTTAGAATGTGACTTTAGGGGAGCGCTTTTTCAATTTCGTGAAAACTACTATTGAAAAATGTAAAAATGTCGCCAAGCTAAGGACATTCTAAGTGAAAATGCAGCACAAAATTGGTAAAAGTGAAATAATTTGGCGTATAAATCT